CTGGCTCTGCCTATCTAGATGCAGAGCCAGCTGTGCCCTCCCCCGATCAGAGAAGGGGCGGGATCCCTGCAGGGACTGGTGACTGACAGCCACCGCTCACTGCAGGGAGAGGATCGGGAAGTGAGTGGATCGGTGCATGTTTCTGCTCACTTCCAGATCAATAGAGCTGACCTGTGACAGCTTATTTTTCACAGGTCGGCTCTAACTATGACGATGGGTGGAAATCACTCACCTCATAGTTATTCTTTAAGTACCAGCATTTCTTTTTATTTCTTTGCTTCAGCTATATGATAAAGATGACTAGGAACACATGATTCTTCAGACCAGATATAATTTGCAATCCTACTACTCAATCATTAATACCCTCTTTAACTGCTTCCTGGAGGGCTATTGTAATTAAACGTTTAATTACAATGGCTGGTCGGGAGCTTCTTGGATGTAAGCGAGCATCTAAAAAACATCCCACCCCTTTAAGACTCGTCCGGACCAGTAACTGTGCCTGTACTGTCCATTGGACTGTGTGGTTTCCAAAAAAGGTATAGAACCAGTGAAATTGGCTCTATACCTTGTGATCTAGCTGTGGCAGACCAGAGCTGTACAAAAATGTAAACAAAGGCTGCACTTTGCAGCCTTGTCTCCATCCCCTCTCTCATACACCGTTCTGATGTGAGCGAAGAGATAGAAAACCTCACAGCGATCATCCACAAATAAGATTTAAAGTGATACACCTTGCTAAACAGTACACTCTGCTACAGCGCCGTCCGCAACACTAGTGCCAGCACATTTTACTAGTGCAACACATACATCAGTGTCACTAGTGCCAGCAGTACACGCCAGTATCTACCACGGTGCCAGCCTACTAGCACAAATCAGCGTGTAACAGTCACATAGAATGTCAGCAATGTCATCTTAAAAAAAATTTCATCAGGTACCGGTAAAGAACATCCAAGTACCAGTGTTATCCAGTGCCAGCAGTATACCCACTACAGCAGTGAGGAGGCGTTTCAAATTATCAGTATGTCTGGTGAGAGTGTCAGATTCTGGATCAGAATACACATCTGTTGAAAGCAGAGATCCAGTATCCTCCTCTGATACAAAGAAGTTGTCCCAACTAAAATATCCATGCCTGCTGTTCAACATCCAGCTGACCTGCAGCAGGTCATCCCAAAGCAGAAGCAAGATAATCCCCTCATCTCCAAGCAGAGGCAATCCAAGATAAGCCACAACAAATTAGGCCCCGAAGAGCACATACTAGTGTACAACCAGAGGCACTTTCAAAATCCCTTGTGGCTACCCTCTAATTCAGCAACACCGGTCATCCCCCTATTTACTGCCAATCCAGGAGTCCAAGTGGAGAATTTTACCGCCAATCTAATTTTTTAATTTATTTTTTACTGATGACCTTTTTAATTTAATTGTCGACGAACCAACCTTTATTTTCAATGTTTTTTTTGTACAACAGCCTAATTCCTCTTATTGCAGACCATTTCAATGGAGGCCTCTGAGTGTTTCTGAATTTAAAACCGGTCTCTGCTTAACACTCAATATGGGACTCACCCAAAAAAAATTAGCCTAATGCATATTGGTCTACATACCCAATCCATCACATGCCCCTATATTTTGCTACCATGTCCAGGGCAAGATATAAAAAGCTAATGATATTTCTTCATTTCAGCGACAATTAAACTTGCCCTCCCAGAAGTCACCCCACATATGATGGGCTCCAAAAAAATTAGGACACCATTTAGTTTTTCCACCAGATTTTCAGAAATGTATACTCCCGAGCAAAATACCTGCATTGATGAGTCCCTTGTACATTTGACAGGCAGGCTTATTATAAAACAGTATATCCCCAGCAAACGTGCCAGGTATGGGGTGAAACTGTATAAGCTTTGTGAAAGACACAGGATGCACATACAATTTCTGTGTGTATGAAGGGAAGGATAACCATTTTGAGCCTCCTGGCTGCCCATCGTACATGGGAAGCAGTGAAAAATAGTGTGGGACCTACTGTCGCTGTACGATCAATACTTCCCCGACAAGATTCCTACCTCCCAAGAAGACCGGACACCCCCAAAAAAATGCATGTGTAGCAAAAAAGGAATAAGGCAGTACACACAGTACCTTTGTCCATACTGTCCCTCAAAACCTGGCATCTGCATTAAAGACTGCTTCCATCTCTACCATACCTCACTGCAATATTAGTGTAGGTATGGTGAAGATGTTTATGTGCTTGACTAGCTGCTATTTGCCTCTGCCCAATCTCCTGTGTACTGACTTTCACATTTCTGCCTGCTGTCTTGAATTAATACTTTGCCTGCAGACCAGCCACATCTCTGCATGCCTCCTAAACTGACCCTTGCATTTTTTCAACCACATCTCTGCTTGGATTGAGCCTTTGCCTGCATACTCGCAACACTTCTGCCTGCCGCCTGAACTGACCTTGGCCTGCTTACTGACCACGTCTCTGTCGCCTGGATCGACCCTTTGCCCACATACTGACCACGTCCTTGCCTGCCGTCTGAACTGATCGTGGTCTGCATACTGACCACGGTTCTGTTTGTCGACCACATTTCTTCCTGCTAAACTGAACCTTGCATTTTTTCAACCACGTCTCTGCTTGGG